AACTCATGTAGTGTACGTCCTATGTATTATACACTGTATTCTCACAGTAAACTGTGAATAGTGGATTAACTCATATAGTGTACGTCCTATGTATTATACACTGTATTCTCACAGTAAACTGTGAATAGTGGATTAACTTATATAGTGTACGTCCTATGTATTATACACTGTATTCTCACAGTAAACTGTGAATAGCGGATTAACTCATATAGTGTACGTCCTATGTATTATACACTGTATTCTTACAGTAAACGGAGCTATAGGGAAAAATCGCCATTAAAAGTCATAAGGAAGGGAAAGTATCTCTACTACTCGTGGAGGGGAAGTGGATCATCATGAGGGTCTTCATCTTCATTGTCTTCATGTTGAGTAGGCTGGGAGGAGGAGGGAGGGGGTTTTTTGCTGTCTCGGGGTGGCAGCAGCAGAAGAGGTGGAGGAGGTGGAAGGGGAGGCCGGTGTAACTTTTATTGAAAAAGCATTCTCCAATGAGTGCACCTGCGTAGTTCAAACCTGCGATGTTCAAGGGTCAACGGTAGTTACTTTCAAGAGATAGTTTCTGGGTGTAATGAAACATGATTAATGAGTGCTCTGTGCCAATTATGAAATGTCGGTGTTAAGATTCCAAAGGGAATGAAGGGCTTGGCGGTTCACTTTTCAATAACAAATATGAATGTCCATGCCCGTGGTGGAGGTAACTGCTGATCGCCTTTCCTTTGAGCGCTTTTCCTGCCAAGTCTAGGTCGACCTTAAGAATCCTCTTCATGGGCAATTAGGGCAATTTTCCCGGCCAGCCTCTTTTCGGTGCTCACCTCTGCCCCTCCCTCTCACAGGGTGACCACACATTCAGTGAGCCTGTCCTGCCCTTCAACAGGGAGGCTGCTGTGCTGTTCCCACTGAATGGTCAATGGGCCATGGGGTCCTGTCTTCTAACATGGATCATCAGCCTCACCAAAGTTGAAACCTCAGATTCTCACTCCAGGAATCCAGACTTGGAGAAGGAGACCAGTTAGTTGGTGTGGGATACTTGAAATGGGAGAGCCAGGGAGAGCTGGGCTTAGGCGATGCTTGTTTACCATGCACGTGTCCAGGCAGAAAATGCTGCCTGTCGGCCCGGAGGGGCAGTGCAAATTGCTCAACGCATAAAGGACTGTTCCTTTCATGTGACAGGCAGCCCAGAGGCAGGTAGGTGCTGGCTGAGGTGAACAGCTCAGGTGCACCATTAAGGACCTAGGCTCTTCTGTCCTGGCTGTGTTTTTTAGACATCAAGGTATCTTCCTGTGGTGTTAAGATGCTACTGCTCTGTGCTTAACTCTTGGGTTCCAGGCAGGAGAAGAAGGGGCAGCACTAGTCCCATGTGTCCCTTTAATCAGAAATGCAAAAACTTTCCTAAAGGTCAAAAGAATCCCCAGATTTCTGTTTTTATCTTGTGGCAAAATACTGCCTGTGGCTGCCTTAGCTTTAAGAGCTAGAGGAGTAACAGCTGATCTTTCCCAGCTCTCCAGGGGAGGTGGCAAAAGAGAAGGGGCCAGCCCAGCAGGGTGTGCCTTGTGAGTGCCGAGGGGTGCAGAGACAGGACAGTGTGAGGCACCAGGAGGCAGAGGGTGACTCTGCCCCTGTGTTCCCAGGTCTTCGTTCCAGTCCCTGTGAGGCCTGGCAGTACTTCCTGAGCCTGAGATCCAAAAGGTAGACTCTTCCAATGTATCCCTCCCTCATCCTACGCTGGTTTCGGTGGGCGTCTGTTTCTTGTAGCTGTATGATCTCTAAGGTGCTTTTCCTGCCATGAACAAACTAATCTACACTACCTAACTGTACTGTCTTCACTGTCCCACCTGAATTAAAACTGGAGCTTCCCACCACGGCAGAATGACTTCCCTTGCAGCCCTTTTCTGAGTCAGTGGTGCCCTCTGCACTCTCCTGGACTTGCGGGCAAGAAGGGGCTCACCTACTTCCTGCCCTACTTTGCTCTTTTCAGACTATTCTTTCTTTTTTTAAAACATTTATTTTTCTTTTTTGTGGATACGTACAGGAGTATGTATCTGTGGCTATTCTTCCTTATCACTCAGTAACCCTAATGTCTATCCCTGAACATCACCCTCTTGTTTAACAATCCCTGGGTACCCCACTCTTCCCTCTTAGCCTCTTTCTTGTCCTTCTCTGTCCATCCAACCCACTCATGATAATCTTACTTATCTAAGTCCTGGTGCAAGGTCCCTTCCTCCAAGAAGCCATTTCTGGTCACTCCCGTCTGATGGCACTTGTTCCTTCTGGCAGTCCCAGGCACACAGCAGCTTTTCTGGGGCAGTGCATGATAGTGGTCATTGTTAAGCTTCCTCTCTCCCCTCCCAGATGATAAGGCCTGTGCAGGCTGGCTCCCTGTATCTCACCCTTGTTTTGTCACCTCACTTGGCACCTGGCAGGCTTTCAGGAAATCTCTGTGGAAGGAGTGGAAGCAGCATGGGACTGGGAAAAAGCACTGGACTAGAAGTAGGGTTTGCTTCTGGTTTGAGCTGCGAGGCACAATGTGGGTTGGCATGCATCACACGGCTGCCAGCATCACATGCCTCTTCTTCCACGCTGGCAGAGCCTGCTTTTGTTGAGATAAACACCTGCCTCATGGGTCAGTGTTATCATGGAAGCAGGCCCCATTCCCAGGGCCAGGGTGGGTTCTGGTTGGTCTAACCTAATGCTTCTCAACCAAGGGCTGTTTTGTTCCCTAGGGGATATTTGTCCAAGTCTGGCAACGTTTTTTATGATCATGACTAGATGGGATGCTACTGCCATCTAGTGGGGGAGGCCAGGGATGCTGCTGAAACACCAGGGCACAGGAGAGGGCCCGCCTCCACTTCCCAACAAAGAATTACCTAGTGCAAAATGTCAGCGGTGCTGACATGGATCAAGAAACCTCATCAAACTAATCACAGTGGTTCCATTCCTCTGCCAACAACTGGTTTCAGCACGATGAGAAATGAAGTCAGTCTGGTTGGCAGCTGGGTTGGAAGGTGGAGTGGGAGACCTGAGAACTGAAACAAATACAACAAGCAAAGCGGGCTTCACTGAGTCAAAAACAGAAAAACTGTACTGAACCCGTGCAGTGCAGCACAATGATCCAGTTCAGACCTCCATAACACCAGCTACCTACATGCTTCATAATAAGACGTATGTGCTTCACCATAAGCCCAAGAGCTGACCTTCCAGTAACTCCGAATGGGCTTACATGTCCCAGAGATAAAGCCACTGGTTCCTCCAGTAGCTCCCCAAGGAATTCTGTCCAGTTCCCCTACAAGACTATCTATGGACTAACTCCAGTCCCCAAGCCCCACAAGGACTCTCTCATGACTCCCCCATTTTGTGGAGCCTCACAGATCCTCTGGTACCTTTCTTTGCTGCAGCAAGTTCAGTAAACCCAACTTACTGCCATTATTTTTCTTATGAATGTGTCCCTGGCTGTTTGCAGTGCGTGGGCTTTAAGACTAGGCATGGAACACAATGCAATGGGCTCACTGTTACAGTTGGGGAATGTTTAAAGTGCCTTGAAGACAAAGAGGAAGAAGTTCTGCTTGGGCAACTGGGAGAAGAATTTTCAGCAAGGATCCTTGAAGTGGGTCCTGAATGATACAAATAATTAGCCAAGTGTCGGTGAAGGAGAGTGTATCTCAGGAAGAAGAAACTTCAAGGACAAAGGCAGCCAGGCCTGAGATTAGACACAGGAAACAATCCTGAGTGTTTGAAATGGGGGATGTGGGGCAAGAGGGAGAGTCCAGACAGGCAGGAAGGTGTCAGACCATACAGCACGTTGTTAACACTATCCTGGATTTAATAGCTGCAGTGGCTATACTCAATGACACATACTGAAGTAAAATGTTGCTGAGGCCTGAATTATTACCTGGGATCTCTGCAGAACTGGATCTGCATAGCTCTCCACTTTCCTCAAGTTGGCTCTTTGGCTCTTTGAATGAATGAATAAAAAACATTCTCATGGAATTCTAGTGCCACCTGTCACTGAAAAAGGCAATGGCACGTTTCTATCAGGAAAGCCCCCAAGAAATTATTTCTTAACACTGCATTTTGAACGTAGCTTTTCCAGAGAGGATTCCTCGTGCCACTGGTAACAGGCTTTGATTTCTTCTACCTGGAAACCTTCCCTGTCACTTCCTCCAGATTCGATTCCTCTTCCAATCCCTTTGCCTGTCAAATGCTCTCACAAGATCCAGTTCTTCCCCTTAGAAGAAATCACTACATTTGATAATTTTACATGTCTATTTTATGATGACGATGATCTGGTTAAAGTCATCCTTCCCACGAGTTTAACTTCCACAAGGAGAGGCCTTGTCTGTGGTTCGCCCACCATCATCTCCCAGCACCTGTGAACGCTTCTGGTTCACTACAATACTGTTGAAAGAAAGATGCCTCTTGTTGCTTTCTCATCCTTTGTTACTGGTAATTTCTACTTCTACCTCGCCTTTACTTAAGGGTAATCCTGTTTTTTTTAATTTTTTTTTAAATTCACAGCACCCAGTGTTTCCAGGCAGTCTCCCATCCGAGTACTAAGCAGGCCCGACCCTGCTTAGCTTCCGAGATCAGACGAGATCGGGCCCGTTCACGGTGGTATGGCCGTAGACAAGGGTAATCCTTCAGTAAACTTTATCAGATGTCTGTTTTAACAGTCACAAACAGATTTAATACTCAACATCAGGCCTTAACCAGAGGGAAACATTTCCTAGCCCAAGTTTTCCCCTTAACCGGGTCAGTCAGGGAAGGATGTAATTTTCAGGCAGGGGGTGACTTCGTTCCAAGGGTGTGGACCGCTGTTTTTGACGCTGCCTGAAGAGCGGTGTCTCTGACACTTAGTAAACAGCGCCGTCCTCTCAACGACAACGGCGGCCAGCACCTGGGGCAGCAGTTCCCAAGCGCGTCATGAGTACTCCCGTCCTCAGAACCGTGAGACGAAGGCGGCATGCGCAGGGGCTGGGCCGGGCGAGCCCGAGGTGGAATCACTCGCGTCCGGGCCCCGGAGTCCGAGACGGGCGGAGACCTCGGCAGCCCCAGGTGCCGGTTCTAAGCAGGCTCAGCGCCGCGCTCCCGGGAGGTCAGTACTCGCCGCCAAGAGCGCGGGAAACCGCCCGCCCAGGAGACCGGAAGGGGCGGGGACGGCGCTGCGGATTGGCCCCTGGGCGCAACCTCATTTCCGCGCGCCGGGGAGGGCGGGCCTGGCGCGGGAGGGCGGGCCTGGCGCCGGAGGCCGCGCCGCTCAGTGCGGGGTGGTGGCGGGGAGGTCGGGCGCCGGTACCATGAGCGAGGCGGACGGGCTGCGACAGCGCCGGCCCCTGCGGCCGCAGGTCGTCACAGACGATGATGGCCAGGCCCCGGAGGCTAAGGACGGCAGGTAGGCCGGACTCCCAGACCGGGCGCTGAGCCGGGCCGCGAGGAGCGGAGGGCGACCCTGCTGGACAGCGGCGACGGCGGTCACAGTACCCTGGGGGATGCGGTGCCGGGCGCGTTGTCGGTGCCCTCTCGTTTAATCTCCAAGGAAAACTTGTTTTTCCGAGGAGGAAACGGGCTCCGCAAGCTGGATGCATCTGCCAGGTCCTTCAGGTTCGGGTGCACCGTGTGCCGGGTCGCCGCGTTACCCTTGGCTCTCGGGGTCCGTTCCTGTGCCTGCCTTCCCCTCACTCCCGCCCCACCCTGCAGAGCGGTTGCTTCCTCGCCTTTCCTTCGCTCCCCTCCCGCTGTCCTTCCTTTGGCTCACCTGATCTCCCGGGGGGCAGCCCCATGGCCAGGGCCCTGCGTCTTCCTGGTCCTTCACTCGCACTTCCCTAAAGGAAGGATGTCCCACGAGATGCTGGGGTGATCCGGCGAAGACACGGTTTCTGCACCTGCTCTTTTGCACCTACGACCCTCGCGCTGCGTGACCACACCTCACCGCGGTTCTTGGGAAGAGTGGAGAACAGAAGTGACATTGTAGGCTTTTTTTTTTTTTTTTTTTTTTTTTGGTGAGAATTCACCCTTGCAGGTTTTTCCTGATAGAAATGGAGGTTTTTCCTGATAGGAAACTGTAGTTGTTGACACCTAAGAAATTCCCTGTTTTGCCTTTTGGCTCCTTTCCCATCTTCCAGAATGTAAAATGCTAGGGAATGTAAAAATGCTACATTTTGTTAGCTAAAAACTGAATCATGATCTTTAAACCTAGATTTCAATTTAAGATACTTAAAATTCACTTTTCAGTTTTGTGTCCTGAATTTTGTAACTTTGAAGTTTTAAGGAAGAATCAAAGGGGCCCCATAGATGAAGCTCGAAGTTGTGAAACTGAATGTTGTAAACAGAATGTAAAAATGCTACATTTTGTTAGCTAAAAACTGAATCATGATCGGTAAGCCTAGATTTCAATATAAGATACTTGAAATTCACTTTTCAACTTTGTGTCCTGAATTTTGTAACTTTGAAGTTTTAAGGAAGACTCAAGAGGCCCCATAGACCAAGCTCGAAGTTGTGAAACAGGTTGACTTATATTTGATAGAAATATTGGAAATATTTGTTCAGCAGTAGTGTGCCAAGAGGTGGTGTGGTACATATGAATGAGAGGCAGTTTTTGCCCCTGTATACTGAGTTTATTGACTGATGATAAGAGAAACACATTTGAAGGAGAGCGATGGCAGGGTGGAGCATTTAAGCTCTAGAGAGGCAATTTAGAGAGAAGACTTTGCGGTGACAGTTGACTCCTTGGGCCGGTGGAAAGATCAGGATGATGCTCCCATATATCCTGACCAACCATTCTGGGCTGCCCTGGACTGGGGTTTCCAAGGATGTAGAACTTTCAGTGCTAAACCTGGGCAAACTGGGAGAATCTGGTCACCCTACTTATTGTGAATAAATTATCTGTTGATGAAGCCATTTAGAGTGGATGTGCAAGAACTGGCAACCATTTCCTACAGAAATCTTAAAAACAAGGCATATTTACCTGAGAAATGAAAGAGCAGTGGCCCGAGCTTGTCATTAGGTGCAGGGTGTTGAAAACCAGGGCATACAGCCCTCAACTCTCAAGTAGGCTTGCTCACGCGTCTGCCCCAGGGCAGAGAGGCAGATTTAATTGTTTTTTTCTTTTTCTTTTCTTTTCTTTTTTTTTTTTTTCAGGTTCTCTGTGGGGATTTCTTCCTTAATGACTAAGTAAATCTGATTCTGAAGTCATTTTTTACTGCCTGATCTTTTCCAATGTGCCTTTTATATTTGCATTTAGTTACTTTCTTGACTTCCCCTGTCCATGAACATTGTTTCTGTTTCCCTGTGTTTGTTCTTGTTTTTTTTTTTTTTTTTAATCCCTTTTCTGTATATCTGTAATGATCTCTTTCAAAATGAGGTCTTGTTACCACCCTTTCCTTCTGCATTTATTATTGTAATATGGTAGCTGTTTTTCTTATTTGTCTTCTGCAGTTCTCTTTGTTTTCATTTCTTTTGTGGTCATTTAGTTCATGTAATAGTATTCTTGATTACCTTAAAAGTTGAGGGTTCAACATAAGCCAGGAAAGCCTGTGTATAGTGGGTAAAGTAAAGGAATCTAAATTAGGAAGTAAAAACATGAAACTGTTAGGATAAACTTTGGCACTTTAGGTGTGCTAAATAGAATAAAGGAAGCCTTGAAAGACATATTACTAAATTGACAGAACTAAGACATAGATTTTAGCAGTGCAAAGGACCCCTAGCAATATGTTGGCTGGTCTCCCAACTTTTGGCATGCAAGGTGGTGTTTGCTTTGTTTTGCTGATGAGATCATTGAGGTCTATGTGAGCAAGGTAGTTTATATGAAGTTACAGAGAATAGAGTTAAAAGAGAAATGAAAATGAATGGTGAAGGATAGAACTGGTAGCTGGACAATGAGAAGCGTATTTTTAAAATTGTGCTTTGGAAATGAGATTTTATGCCAAAGCTCTTGAATTTCTGTATTCAGATCCAGTGGAGAATTTGGTTGGTAAATTCTTGTATTCATTGTGGAACACAGATGAGCTAAGCACTTTAACATACCAGTGCAAGCTTATAGTTATTATTTGACATTGATTTCCCCAAATGCTTTAGAAACTTAACTGTACACAGTGGAACTATTCCTTTCCTTTTGGAACATAGTTCTATCTAGGAAGAGAACTGTTTAATGTCCATATATGACTGTTTAGGGGTACAGAATGAATATATTGAGGATTTAATATATTTTACTACATTAAATTTCATAAAATTCTGCTTTTTCAATAAATTTCTGAAGGATTTTAATCTAATTAAAAGTCTCTACTAGGTCCGTTTTCCTTTTTCCTCTTGGAGACTAAAGAGTAAGGCAGGCAGTGTGGAGAAACGGATGAGGCCTTCAGGAGTTCATGAGGAGTCAGGCAGCTGGAGTGTTTGTCTCAGCTCTGCCCCAGGTGTGTATTTTCAGGTGGCTTTTTAAACTTGTTTCTTAATTTCTTAATTTTCCAAGGATAAAGTGATGAATCTAGGAGCCCCAGTTTAAAGGATTGTGAAAATGAACAAATTCAAGAATCTGTCAGTAAAAAAGATGGGTTGATGCAGTTTGACTTTCTCAGGTTCCAGGGATCATCTTGACACATGAGGCTGCTGGTCCCCTATGAATTTGGGGCTAACAGGTTTTTCACAACAATCGCAGGTGAATTTTGATCTCTTGGAGTCTGCTTGTTGGGACTTCAGTTCAGGACCCAAGGCCCTGATATCCTTTGTGCAGAGTTAGAGCCTACCCTTCAAACTCCGCCAAATCGGCTGGTGAATCTACAGAAGATTTTGCAAATTGTGGGCTGGCCAACAGCATTTGTCAAATCCTATTGCATCACTGTGGCTGTGCTCTTGCCTTTAGAGAGTGTAGGCAATTTCAGGTTGCAGATGTCCTCATGGAGATGGGCATCCCTTTCAAGAGAGTGGGGCAAAGAAATTGATTTCTCAAACTGCGTCTAGGAACTAAGTTGCCAACCTTCCTGGATGTGTCAGCACAGGATGGGAACCTGCAGTGCTTTGTCAGTGAAAATGGATAGGGATCTTTATAGTGTCCTTTATTTAAATTAAAATAAAGAGAGTAAGAGGGAGGCAGGCACCGAGAAAAGACAGAAGAATTATAGTTGACTATGAGTTTGCAGGCAGCAACACTGATGAGGGCCTGCCAAAAAGTTAATGAACCCTGGGCTAGATAGAATAAGTGTGCCCAGAGCAGGGGTCCAGGAGCTGTGGTTGCTTCATTTATATAACAAGCTAACTCCATTTCAAGTACTCAGGAACCACACATGGCTAGTGGCTATTGTATTTCCTTCATTGCAGAAAGTTCTATTGGACACTGCTACTCAAGGAGTTTTGTTTGAATTTAAGCTAGTATTTCTAATACGTGACCACAGAACTTTCCAGCGGAGGCTGGATCAGGTGGGGTTGGGGGGTGTTGTACACTAAAGCAGGGCTGGTCACAAAGTTCTGACCACAGAACTTTGACTGGGAAGGGAGCTGGATGGAGTTAGTGGTGTCCAGCTGCACATCAGGAACAATGGATGAAAAAGAGTTTGCAGGCCCACCCTGAACCTACCAAACCAGAATTTCTGGGTTTTGTTTAAGGTAGCTCAGGCCATCTTGATGTAGCCCATCCAGGAGTTGGCAGCCTTTGGGAACAGTAGACTGAGTGGCCTTTAAGAGAGTGTTACTGCTAGATCCCTGGCACTGGGACACAAATCTTTGCCCCTGGACTTTTGGCCTCCTTTCTGGCTGTAAGCACCATGGCTTTCAGTCCTGGCTGGACTTTTTGTTTTGTACGTAATTGAGCCTTTAACCATTGTGTGAAAGGGCAACCAGATATTTAAACGGGGTGTCACCAGCTCTGAATCAGATTACCACATCAAGATTTTAAGAATGTAAGCTGCAGTGTGGTAGAGGAGAGGTCACAATGTTGGAATCCAGGGATCGCATCAGCTTCCTTTGCAGACAGGAGCGTCCCTGTTGGATTCAGTACCTGAGTGCAGTGGGGGCAGCGCTCAGGGCCGGCAGCCACATCTTCACCATCCATCTTTCAGTGTGCTTGTCTCTCTTTGGGATTCACACTGTCAAAAACGTTTCTGTCATTTCCTTGTGACCAGCCCTGCTTTAGTGTACAAGTACTTCATTTCTGTTGTGTTGGAAGACTTTACGTCACTTAAAGAAAATCACCTGGGTTGAAGAGTATCCTAGCCACTGGAGTGGCAGTTTGCATGGTGGAGTCACTGACTTTGTTTTGTTTTGTTTTTTAAACATCTTTATTGAGATGTAATTTGCATACCATAAAATTAACCTACTTAAAATGTCCACATCAGTGATTTTTAGTATAATCATCCGTTTTGCAATAATTACCACCCTTAAGTGTAGAACATTTTTGTCACTGTCAACTTTTTTTTTTAGTCGAGGTGAAATTCGCATAACAGACAACCCCTTTAAAGTACACAGTTCACTGCTATTTAGTGTATTCACAATGTTGAGCAACCACCAGCTCTCCCTGGTTTCAAAACTGTTTGATCAAGGTGTTTACCTTTTACCTATTAAGTAATCACTCCAATTTACCCCTCCCACACAAATGTTCTTCAGCAGATGAGTAGGGCTGGACATGGTCGCTCATGCCTGTAATCCTAGCACTTTGGGAGGCTGAGGCAGGAAGACTGCTTGAGGCCAGGAGTTCAAGACCAGCCTGGACAATGTAGCAAGACATTGTCTCTACAAAAAGTAAAACAATTAGCCAGACATGGTGGTACACACCTGTAGTCCTAGCTACGTGGGAGGCTGAGACAGGAGGATCACTTGAGCCCAGGAGTTTGAGATTACAGTGAGATATGATCATGCCACTGTACTCCAGCCTGGTAGACAGACTGAGACTGTGTCTTTATATTTAAAAAACAAAAAAACCAGATGAATGGGCAGCAAGTTGTGGTATATACATATATAATCAACTGGTAACAGGAACTGTGTATGGATACATACTGCAACTTAGGTGGGCCTAGAAAACACACTGAGTGAAAGAAGCCAGTCATGAGGGGTCCTATATTGTGCGACTCTGCTTATATGAAATGCTTGGAATAGGTAAATCAACATGAGCTTTCACAGAGTTTTCAAACTTTGGCTCTGAAGGGCTCTGGGTCTGGGCATCCTCCACTCCTTCCTCTTGCCCTTGGCAGGCAGTGCGTCTAATAGCCGCAGGCATACAGCCACATCTGGCTCTCAGTCGCGCTTTTCCAGCTCTCGTGCTGGCTGTGGGAAAGCCGCTTGAGCCTTTCCCTGCCCACTTTCTCATTTGTGAAGGAGAGAGATACCTAGTTGCGTCTGGTGGCCCACATAAAGCACGTTTTATGGCATACTCTCATTTTCACTGTGTTTGCCATTCCTTTTTTCCTGGCCCTACTCCTTTCCCTGCTGCAGACCTCTCAGGTTGCACGAGCCTGCCGTTGTGTCAGGTCATAGTTGGTCTGTGCTTTGTAGACGTTTTCATGCCTGTGGTTCTCATACCCTCGGCCGGTGTAAGTCAGACACATTAGAAGAAGATTATATGGTCCGGGGGTTTGGAGACAGGACTGGGAGGGAGAGGTTGACCTGACTTTCCCCTTCATTCTCACCTGCCCTCTTCTAGGAGCCTGGGCTCTCGTGGCCTCTCCCTGGCTTGGGTATGTGGCCTTTTATTTGGGTTTGCAGGGCCTGGACCACCTCCTTTTCCACCTAATAAAAAGGGCAAGGACTGGCAAGGTGGCATTTTACCTGGTCTCCGGTACGGGGTGAGCTGTTAACCCCTTATGAGCGAAGAAGAGGAAGTTAGGGACAAATTCATTTTTGGAAGCTTATTAGAAGAAAAATAGACATAAAATTCTCATCAGCAAGAGGAAATGCCAAAGGAAGAAGGCAATGGTTAGCACTGCCCCTGGGGTTGTCCTGCTCTGGAGGAGAAAGCAGCAGGAGAAACCGGGCCTCGCCTTCAACACTCTGCTTGGAAATGTCCTTAGCTGGGTCCAGTTTCAGTGTTTAGAGGTTCTGCCTTCCACATAACTGCAGGGCACGATTCAGCCAAGGTTTCTGCCACGTGTTACAGGATCCACTTTCCTCCAGTTTCCAATCCCACGTTCCTGACAAACTTCCATACCCTCCCCAGCACTGCCAAGTGTTCGCACCCAGTTAGGATTCTCCAAGGCGATGTATTTTTTTCCTGCTTTGCCCCTCTCTTCCTTCTGAGCCCTCAGGAGCAGAGTCTCTTAACATTTATAGTTTTACGACTGTGTTCAAGGAAATCTAGGCTTTTTCTATGCTGCTCCTCAGAATTCTTCCATCCTTTACCCACAGCTCGATTCCAAAGCTACTTCCACATTTTTAGATATTTGTTACAGGAGCACCCCACTTCCAGGTGCTGGAAACTAGTTTAACTAGAAAACTTAATTCTTGTGGTTGCCATTAACAAATCACCACGCAGTGAGTGTCCTGAACAACACAGGTCTATCATATGATATTTCTCTAGGTCAGAAGTCCTGGGCAGGTCTCACTGTGCTAGGTCAGGGTGTCAGTAGAGCTGTGTTTCTGGAGGCTCTGGGAGACTCGGTTTCCTGCCCACTCAGGTTGGTGGCGGGACACTTTGTGAAAGCTGCTTCCTCTTCTTCCCCTTGTTCTTTCCTTTGTCTTTATTTTCACCTACCCCAGTAGAAATAGAGGGATTTATTTTCTTTTCTGCATTGTTTGTTAAAATCATGCATGTGCAGGACTTTATTCGTTTGTTAAAATCATGCATGTTTCAGGAGGTTACCCTGCCTAACACCCCGTTTCACATTGGTGGAAACTGTAGGTTTTGGAGTGGTGAAACTGGCCCGGAGTTGCCTGGCTGGTTGTTGGGGAGGAGGACTTGGCCTCCACGTTTCTACACCATACCCGGAACAGAGTTTAACATGTCTCAATGGCAGAAGACTACACTTCTGCCAAAAATCGAACCCTGCCCGCTGAAATCAAGTCTGCTTTGTTAAGTGTGAGTCTTGAGTTTTTCTTTGTCAACCCTTTAATTTTTTTGATGGAAGAAAATAATCTTACCTTAGGAACTCATGATTTTATTCGTTTCAAGTTAATATTTATATCAAGCTTTTAGTAAATTTGAATTCAGTTTATGTAAACAAATAATGATCCTGTGACGTTTACTTAGTAGCAAGAGGCCAAATGTTTTTACTTGTTTACCAGATGAGAAATACTATATGTGAAGATGGTTCTCGTCATTTGTCCAAATACTTCACCCAGGATTCCCAGGGAAGCTTTCAGATCTTCCCAAGGGTTTAGGAGTGATGACTTGGAATGCACATTTTTTAGAGCCTGTGTAGATAACTGTCAGTATCTATCAAACTTCTTCTATTAGGTTGAAGAGCTGGGAAGCCCTTTTGAATTCCTAAAAGTAGGCTGGGAAGAATGACTGGGGAATTGGATTCTCAGGAAGTTGTTCTGCTTCCATATCCTTCGTGAATTTAGCACACTGTCTTCTATCCATGAGAATCTTGGGGCTGTGCAGTTCTGAGTGTTGCTGCTTTGAATCCATGCACCAGGAAATCATGGCTTTCGAGAATTACCCACCTTTTCTGTGAATGAGTATGCACCATTTACGTCATTAGAAGCCTTTTTTACCATTAAATTTTGTGCTCCTCAGTTCTTTGAGTTTGCCTTCTTTAAAACCCTGCTAGAGGATTCAAGATCTGGAAAGTAATTGATCCAACGTATTCTACACAGGGGAAGCTGGAAGATTAAAAAAAAGAACAACAACAAAGGCGTGTTTGCCAATCCTAGCAAACAGTGCTAAAGTTTAATCACAGGCTAGAGGTCGGCCACCTTGCAGTGGGTAAACTAAATGAGCATCCCTGCTCCTGCTGGGAGGGCTTTCGGACCAGCTAACCTTGTCACCGTCTGAGACTCAGCTGATTGCCTTTGTATCTTTTATTTCTGGCAGCTCCTTTAGCGGCAGAGTTTTCCGAGTGACCTTCTTGATGCTGGCTGTTTCTCTCACCGTTCCCCTGCTTGGAGCCATGATGCTGCTGGAATCTCCTATAGACCCACAGCCTCTCAGGTAGGCTGCCCTGCAGTCCTCAGGAGGGGTTGCTTGCCAAAACGTAATAGGCTGAAATAATTTCCAAGGAAACGAAGGTCCAGAAATCAGTCTGTTCTGAAAGGTAAGTTTGAGAAACAGTTTTGTGATTTCTTCAGTACCTGGGTTTTTATGCTGAATTAGGTGTTACTCAGGAAATATGCCTGGTATTTCCCTGTCATTGTTAAAAAACTGCATAAACCAAAAATAAAATTTCAAAATTGGAGAAGCTTAATAATCATTAGAGATAGTCAACTGTAATTCATTTCAAGTAGCAAAAGCACACACAAATGGAGATTAAGTTACCTTATAAGTAACTGATTTTCTACACAACCTATAATCAGTGTTATTTTTTTCCTAAGTTACCTTTCACCAATAGAGATCTATGAGCAATGCAGTCCATTATAATTTGAAAAAAGTAGCGTATATGTAGGGGCCCCCTGAAATAGATTCGTGTTTGTAATTACAGTGGTACAGAGCCAGGCTCTCATTGATGTGATGATCTATGACTTCCATGCTGACCTAGTTGCAGGAGGGTTGTACAGTCTGGTTCAGTAATTTCCTGGTTCCCCTTGCAACTGCTGGTGGGGTGAAGCCATCTGAAGCTTATTTTAAATGAATTAGTCCATGTAAAGCTTTAAAAACTTGAGACAAGAATCATATCTAGTTAAAGAGTGAATATAACTTACTAACTAAATAATGTAGTGTTTTATCCATAAAAATTAAGGCTTTATATTGAGTCCGATTCACTAAGAATATAGAGGACACGGTTCTGACCTTAGATTGACGTGTAGGTGAGTCAGTTTTTGTTGTTGGATTTAGAATAGTGAAGGCACAGGGTGCTGTATACACACAATTTGCTCATGTAAGATGGAGACTGGGTGAAGGGCTGGGAACTCTAGTCAGCCCCAAGAATATCAGCTGTGTAATTCCTGTTGTGCCAGTGGGTCCTGAAACGTGTTTACCTGGCTGAGCCAGGCCTGAGGACATCCTGTCTCCGAAGGAGGGTGTGGGAAGGTGTTGTGTGTTTCTAACCCTTCTCAACAGAGCAGGATGGCTCATTCTACCTAAAGAGAAACTGATCTGGGCCTTCTTGGATAGTCCAGTTGGCTAAGGTGGGGGAGGGAACTATGTCCACAGTCAGGGATTAGAGGCTTGGGTTGTGGGGCAAGTCTCGGAGAAGGAGGCTGAGATTGAGCTTTGAGTTGGAGAGAGAGAGTGGAGCCTCAGTGAGTGAAGACCTTTGATCTCAAGAAAGATGAGTTTATGTGCAGAAAGAGTGGTGAAGAAATGCACTAGGAAGAGGGGTATGTAGCCCTGGCCGGACACTGAAGGGAAGCAGGGCCCACTGGGGATTGAAAGTTGTTTGTACAAAGTAAGTTCTGTTTGTGGAGTAGAAGAGCCTGATGAGGAGGGAAAGGAAGAGAAGCAGTGGGACCGTCACAGCTAACAGGGGCCTCTCTCCTGGGCTCAGCTTTAGGAGTGGCAGTGCGACCATCACAACCAACAGGGGCCTCTCTCCTGGGCTCAGCTTTAGGAATGGCACACTCAGAATGGGAAGATAGATGCAAAATGCAGAGCAGAAGCAGAAGCCTGGTATGTGACAGAGCTTGGTGTGTCTCACGCAAGTACATGTGGCTATGACACAGGCTGTGCCCCATGCATGCCATCTCAGCAGGTGCTGACTCAGCTTCGGCCTCTCAGTCCATAGTCACTCTGTGGAAGGACATGGTTTCTCTGCAGAAGGGAGCAAAAAGTTTATTTTTCATAGAAGGGTATGGATGTTTCAAGTCACTGAGGAAAAATTAAAGTCAAATTTACTGTTAAAAAAAATTAGAGCAGCATTTTGGAGGATAGATTTGGTTGCTGTAATTTTAAAGACCAATAGGAAGGGTAATTCTACTGGCGGTTGAAAGTTGTGGTACTGTTAGAAGTACACATTTTACTACCAGGTGGAACTGTCGACTGAGAGATATTAAAAAGTAGCAACAACCTTTATGGGTGGTCTGGGACATCAAGAGAAAATAGAAGCACTGTACAGAACTCAGGCAGGGCCCATACGAGATCTGCAGGGGAGGGAGAGGGCAGTGCCCCACACCCTAGCTTCCTGTGTTAGAGACAGAGATGTGGGGACGTCAGAGACCTGGGTCTCAGAAGTGCTTAGGAAAATCTCTGTGCAGTCTGTGGGCTGCAGTGGGTCACGTCTCTGCAGTTGAGAATCACTGCATCAGTGCAGGCTTCCTTCACCTGTGTCAGCCATCTGTGATCATACTGACACCCTGTTAGTCTGTTCACATCTCCCCAGGTTGTCACAGGGATCTTGAAAGCCACTCTGTACATGCTATGGGAATCAAGATGTCACATATGGTGTGTCTGTGCCAGCCCTCTAATCTTCCCAAAAGGAAGGAAAAGTGGTTTTGCAGGGCAGGTTTTTGGCAACCTTCCTGGTGACTTTGTCCCAAGTACTGAAACCAGCTTTGTAATAGTCCAGACTGGAAGAGCCACGACTCCTAGTCCCCGCCACACTCCTGGTCTGGCTGTTCTCCGATTTTTTTGAGATTTCTAAGTGTGGTCTAAGCTCTTACAGGAGTGATGTAGCACCCTGGGTAGACTTCCAAACACCTGTCCATTAGCCCAGTGGCCATTCCTGTCCTGTCTGCTGGGCTGATCCTCTTGACCATGGTGACCCCATGCTACCCAGCGTGTTGAAGTGACCGAGGCTGAGCAGAAACTGGTAACTCTGCCTTTGTCATCATTGCATGGCACCACTTGCCCCAGGTGAGGTTTCCCTTTCCTTCCTCTTTTGCTGTGAAAAGAGCTTTAAAGAAGCCCTTTTTGCTCTTGTCATAAATTTTTCCCCAGCCCTTAGCTCCTTGCTATTCTTGAACTCCCTGCCTTGCTGGAGGCAGGGGGCAGGGGATAATTGGAAGATATTCCTCCCTACTTTGCTTCCCTTCAACAGTGCTCCTTGGGAGCCTTCTATGTGCCATGTTCCATGCTGGGTGCTGGGAATGCAGTAGAGAAAAACACAGAAAGAAATCCCTGATCTCACGGAGCATATGCTGTAGTGGGGACAGACAGACCATAAACATAAAAGAAGCAAATTACACAGTGCCTGAGAAGCTGGTATGTGCTACGAGGAGCATGGAGCAGGGCAGGGGCCTGCGTTCAGGGGAGGTTTTGGATATTCAGTTGGGTGGTCAGGGTGGGCCTCCTGGTGGGGGGAGTGTTGGTGTTCCAGGTAGAGCAAAGAGCTGGTGAGAAGGCACCGGTTAGGGAGATGGTGGTGTAGTCAGGACCCGGCAGGGAGGGGCTGGTGTGGGGGATGCAGAAGGCACAAGAACGGGAGGAGGCAAGAAGGTGCTGTAGCCAGACTGTGGTGCTCAGAGGCTGCTGCCAGGACTTGGCTCTGGGTGAGAGAGCCATGGTGGGGCTCTGAGGAGAGGAAGGTCATGATCTGACCTGCTTGCTGGGTTGAGAGTAGGCTACAGGGGTCAAGGGAGGAAGCAGGCGCGATAGGATGGTGGCCCTGTCAGGGTGGTAAGGAGGACATGGGGAGAAGGGGTTTAATGGTGTCTGTTCAAAGGAGCCTCAGCAGAACTTGATGGTGGGTTGGGAGGTGTGACATACTGGCATGTGGATGGGAAGGACAAGTAGAGGCAGGAGTTCCTGGAGCCGTGTCTGTGAGAAGGGCTCCAGGGCTCAGCTTAAGCCCCTGCGTCAGGGAGAGCCTGGTGGGCCCTGAGAGTGTTGGCGGGAGATGGAGTGCCCTGTGCTGGACCATGGGGCGGTGGTTGCAGTCCCAGGAAGGTCTCCCCTTGCTCTTCCATCTTCTCTGTGAAGCATGAGGCCGGGCCATCAAGTGTGAAATGTGGGCACCACTTGCTACCACTTTAGGTGGACTCCAGTGGCTGTAGTGCTGTGTGAGTCACAGGGGTGAGGAGGTCCAGCTGCCCTGAGGCATTGGATGGGGTGGGGAGCTGGGGAGCTGGAGGGTGGGTGAGCTCAGGCCCCAGGATGATCTCAGGAGACAGGACTGTGAAGGCCTTGCATTAGCACATTTATGTTGTCATATTTTTTTTGTACTGTGACATTTTCTGATACCCTGAAACACTTTTTTCTTAACCCTTGTATTTATGGCAACTGGGGATGTTATTAGAAAGTGCCATCTTTATCAAAGAACCGAGACTAGGGCCTCGGTATACATTTTTTTCACATGTGTATTTATAGACAAATCTCTGGAATTGCATTATTTTGCAGCTTCAAAGAACCCCCCCTTTTGCTTGGTGTTCTACATCCAAATACGAAGTTGCGACAGGCAGAAAGGCTGTTTGAAAATCAGCTTATTGGACCGGAGTCCATAGCACATATTGGGGGTAAGTCTGAGCTGGGGAACCTTCCAGGCTGTCTGTTGTCTGAGGGGACAGGTTCTGTGGGAGCAGCTGCAGTGGCTCACTGCCCCTGGACTGGGACCCTGCACACCCTTCTTCTTTTTTTTTTCTTGAGACGGGGTCTTGCTCTGTCACCAGGCTGGAGTGCAGTGGTGCAATCTCAGCTCACTGCAACCTCTGCCCCCCGGGTTCAAGCAGTTCTTCCGCCTCAGCCTCCCAAGTAGCTGGGACCACAGGTGCGTGCCACTACGCCTGGCTAATTTTTGTATTTTTAGTAGAGACGGGGTTTCACCATGTTGGTCAGGATGGTCTCGATCTCTTGACCGCGTGATCCGCCTGCCTCGGCCTCCCAGAGTGCTGGGATTACAGGTGTGAGCCACTGCGCCTGGCCCCTGCACACCCTTCTTAGCTGTGGCCGTGAGGTTTGGCCCCAGACATCGCGTGGGAGGGCCCTATGGGAGTGGCTCTTCCTGCTGGTCTCATCTGTCTGGATTACATGCCATTTTGGCACTGGGTGATTCTGAGTTCATCTCTATGGAGCACTTTCTTGTGCTTAAATTGTTATGAAAGGAAAAAGACCAAATACAGATATTGATGTTGAGTTCGTTTATCAAAGTTAAATAGGTGTTTGACAGCACAGCATTTCTTAGTTCCGTTTGCTTTGTATAGATTTCACTGTGAAATGGAGACAAATGCTTTTCGTATTTCTACTGTTTTTGTCTGTTTGAAAGCTCACTTTGATGGGTACACTTAAGGGTAACCATCTGCATCACACTTGCCCATGCCTTAGAACTAGAATTAGGTTTGGGTCTAATACTTGCATCTCTAGCAACCTTGAACAAGGCATTTTCTGTTTGTTAAAATGAGAATTAAGCTTAGTATTGGAAAGGCACCAATAGTCACAGATAGTTTGCAAACTCAATCTGGTGTGGACTTGCTGAGCAGCGTCTTTGGAAGTGCTGCTTGTTACTCTGAAACACACTGTTCTCCAGGCGGTGGCTCTGGATGTATGCACACAGGGTGCTTCTGTTGTGCTCCCAAGGCTGGTCACTGGCCTCTCTTCTGGTGGCGTTTGACCAGCTTCCCTTGCCTGGCCCCTTCTATTTGTCACAGGCCCCAAGGGCTGGCCTATTTCTGCAGTTATTGGTTTGTTTTCTTGGCTGTCAAAGTCAAAATTGATTCAAGAAGAGTAAATATCATGATAGAACTTAAAAAGACATTAGCATTTATTTGTAAATTTTATAAGTTTTAGCATTTTTGGGTAAAAAATCAAATATTGCTGCTTATCACTGAAACTTAACAGCAGTTGAAGTGCAAACCAATGATTTTACTTCTCAAAGAGAGCACTTCCCTGTCTTTTTCCTTTTCACTGGGATATTTGGGTTATGTTGGATATTTTGGGTCTTTGCCCTCTCCTTATGAACTTTAGGATTAATTTGTCTGTATCTACAAAATGACTTGCTGGGATTTTGATTGGCATTGCATTGAATCTATAAATTAAGGTTGGGAAAAACTGACATCTTGACAATGTTGATTATTCCTGTTCATGAACATGGAATATCTCCCCATTTATTTATTTTATTTACTTTATTTATTTCATCAGAATTTTTTAGTTTTCCTTATATAGACCTTGTGCATATTATATTTATACCTAAGTATGCCATTCTTTTGGATGCTAATGTACATATATTGTGTCTTTAATTCCAAACTCCATTTGTTCATTGTTAGTGTAAAGGAAGGTGAGTCAATATCTTGCAGTATCCTGCAACCTTGCTATAATTTCGTATTAGTTCCAGGAGGGGTTTTCTTTTGTTGTTGATTCTTTCAGATTTTCTTCCTAGACAGTTATGTCACTTGCACACAAAGACGATTTTATTAAGCCAGGCGCGGTGGCTCATGCCTGTAATTCCAGCACTTTGGGAGGCTGAGGTGGGTGGATCACCTGAGGTCAGGAGTTCGAGATCAGCCTGACCAATATGGTGAAATCCCATCTTTTAAAAAAAAAAAAAAAAAAAGCTGATTTTATTTCTTTCTTCTCAATTTGTATACCTTTTGTTTCCTTTTCATGTCTTGCATTAGCTAGGTCTTCCAGTATGATGCTGAAAAGAAATGGTGATAAGGGACATCTTTGCCTTGCTCTTGATCTTAGCAGGAAAGCTTCTAGTTTGTCACTGATAAGTATGATGTTAGATGTAGATTTTTAAAATAGATGTTCTTGATTAAGTTAAGAAAGTTTCCCTCTATTCCCAGCTTGCTGAGAGTTTTTAATCATGAATGAGTGTTGGATGTTACCAGATGCTGTTGATATGATCATGTGGTTATTCTTGTTTAGATTGTAGAAGTCTCTAACTGTGATAGTGGATTCTGTTTCTCCTTGCAGTTTCATCAGTTTTTGCCTCACATATTGGTGCTGTGTTGTGAAGCATATACACATTAAGGATTCTTATGTCTTTTTGAGGAATTGACCCATTTGTCATTGTGTGATGCTCCTCTTTATCCGTGATAACTTTCCTTGGTCTTAAGTCTTTTCTGTGTGAATTTAATACAAAAGCTACCCTGGCTTGCTTTTGGTTGGTGTTAACATGACATACTTTCTTCATCCCTTCACCTTCAATCTATGTGTCTTTATATTTAAAGTGGGTTTCTTGTATACAATATAGAGTTGGGTCTTGCTTTTTGAGTCATTCTGGCAATGCCTGTCTTTCAGTTGGTGTATTTAAACCATTTATGTTTAAAGTGATTCGTGATATATTGGATTAATATCTACCGTATTTGTTACTGTTTTCTATTTTTGCCCTTACTCTTTGTTTCTATTTTTGTGTTTTTCTCTTTTTCTACCTTTTGTAGTTTTAAACTGAGTATTTTATATGATTCCATTTTCTCTCCTTTCTTAGCGTATGACTTATACTTCTTTTTTTACTTTTTGTGGTGTTACCCTTGAGTTTGCAATATGCATTTGAAAACTGTGAAATATTTTAAGAATTTGTGTATCATCAGTGCCCAAGGGGCATGCTAGTCTTTTCTGTATTGTTCTAATTTTAGTATGTGTGCTGTTGAAGTGAGTGCTTAATGTGCTGTAATTTTCTCCTAGAGGATTTCTGGCAGTTCTTCCCCTTTAGTTGGATACAATCAATGTCAGTAGCAGACATTGATGTGAGGTGAATATGAACTCATGCCCCTAAGTGCTAAGTGTGAGCTTGAGTGCTTCAGGACTGGAGGAAATCCTCACAGTTCTCATCACTGACTGGTATCTGCTGTACCCTTGCTCTTGAGTCAGGTTCATGCCCACAGGCTGCTTCCCTAGGGCCCCACAGTTTTATTGCTGTAAGTTTGAAGAATTTTTTGCATTCCCAGAAATTGCGTTTCCTTCATCTTCAGAATTGTCACTTTCTCTTGGGGGGCAGGGGGAACACATAAACAGGGCCTCTTGTAGGAGAAGGTGGCACAGTCACAGTTCTTAAGCTAACATTGCTCTTCCTCCTTTTTGTGTTTTTAAACAGATGTGATGTTTACTGGGACAGCAGATGGCCGGGTCGTAAAACTTGAAAATGGCGAAATAGAGACTATTGCCCGGTTTGGTTCGGGCCCGTGCAGTAAGTTGGTGGTAATCCCCTGACATGTATCTCTTCCAGTCTTTCAGAAAGATGTCGGATTGCTCTGTGGAACTGCTTTTCCCTAGAATGCTTGTGGGGGAAAAAGAACCTCTGACCATCTAGCAGAAGGAAAGTGATGTCACCATGAGCTCATTTGCCTGGTAGTCCCTGAGCCTCATGGTGCCTTATGGTCACCTGCAGCCCCCATTTTGCAGCTGGGCCGTGGCCATGGCCCCTGCTTGGTACTGTGTGGGCCTCGCCCCTCACCATTTTCCTGGGGTCACTGTCTTTGTGGTAGTTCAGAGGCCAATAGGTGTTGTCAGCGTGCTGCTGTAGAAAAGCAGGTGGCCTTGTCATTACTTGGATTGTAACTGCTATTCTGCCTTGGTCACAGCAATTTCACCCCTGTCATTCAAAGTGAGAATACCCTGAAGTCACTCAGATTTTGGAGGAGTAGAAGACTCACTGTTTAAAACTGATAGTCTATAGACTTAATAGTGCCATTTTTTAATAGTTGGAAAGTTTTTATTAAAATGATGCATTTTAATAAACACAACACAAAGGTACAAAGAAGAAAATAAAGATCACCTGCATCTTTTCAGATGTAATTGTTAGGAACATTTTAGTGAATGTCTTTTCAGACATCTTTCTGTTAATGGACATCCACACCCACACACAGTTTTATATGATGGAATTACACTCTACATCAATTCTTTAACCTGCCTTTTTTTGTGCCATATTGTCAGTAAGCACCCTGCAGTGGGCATCTCACAGTGAACATCCTGCAGTAAGCATTTGCAGTGAGCACCCATGGTGAGCACCCTGCAATAAACACCTGCAGTGAGCACCCTGCACCCTGCAGTGAACGTCCTGCAATAACCACCTGCAGTGAGCACCCCGCAGTGAACACCCCGCAATAAACACCTGCAGTGAGCACCCCGCAGTGAACACCCCGCAATAAACACCTGCAGTGAGCACCCCGCAGTGAACACCCTGCAATAATCACCTGCAGTGAGTACCTGCAGGGTGGTTCTAGCTATGCCATGGTCTTGTTTTGTTCCATACAGCATGATGTATGGGAAGGGATGGATGAGAAAACTGGATACTGCAGAGAGCACAGGTAGAATCTGAGACCAACTACCAATCCCTGTCTTTTTTTTTCTAGAAACCCGAGATGATGAGCCTGTGTGTGGGAGACCCCTGGGTATCTGTGCAGGGCCCAATGGGACTCTCTTTGTGGCTGATGCATACAAGGGACTATTTGAAGTAAATCCCTGGAAACGTATGTGACAATATCTTATTTCTGTCTATGATGATTTTAGATCTTCTAACAATGTATGTGTGCATAGACTTAATAGGATTTGTTAACAACAGTCTACCAAAGACTGGTATTTCTTATTTACTGAACAGTACTGAAAGCATTGCCTGGAAAAGTCAGCTAGTTTTAAACACCAGAAAACTCCCTACCCATGATTCCATTTGGTCCATGGAATTTCCTTCTCCTATTTATATTTTAGCTTCAGGGTCTCAAAAGGACTTATTTTGAGGAAATTAGACCTGTTTCTGTCTATATTTTTCTGTGTCTTTGCATCTTGTCTATTTGTTTTCTGCCTCTCTTTGTCTTCTCTGTGGCCTTCCCCTTTGTCTCCGCCTTTCCATTGTCTCCGGTTGTTCCTCCTCTTCTCTCTCCTGACTGCTCGTGAGTCCCCTTGACCAAGCTGTAATATGTGCTGTGTGTCTGAGTGGAGGTGTTCCTGCCAGGGAGGAGTCTGTCATCTTGTGTAGTGCGTGGGGACCTGAATGTAGGCCTTGCAGCCCAGTTGCTTGGGGACGCTCACTCTGCTGGCCACCAGCTGTGACTGTGCAGGTCCCTTGGCTGCTCTGTGTCCAGCTTCCTCATCAAGTCGAGGTCACAGTAGCCCTGCCCATGGGATTGTTGTGAAGGTTTAAAGGTGATCACACCTGGAGAGAGCTTAGCACTCCGTCCATGTTCTTTCTACTGTTTTTCAAAACTTACTACAAATTTTTTTTTCAAAAAGCAGATGAGTAGAATATGTCTTATTTCTCTCAAACAAATAGAACTAAAGCCTAACATTCGGAATGGACGTATCAAGTTAGTTGGCCTTAGTAAAAGAAAGATTCCTCATCCTTATAGCAAAGATTCTGCCTTAAACGAAGTTAGTCTAAAAGGAATCATTTAACACCTAATACTGTTTTTAGTATAAGAAGGAATAAATCTGACATATGGAGAAGTTTATCTTTTTAAGTCAGGCAGGTTAATATTTTGAAATTGAGAAGCAAGTTCCCAGTTCAAGCCAATTTTTTTTCTTTTTCTTTTTTTTTTAAACTTCAGGTGAAGTGAAACTGCTGGTGTCCTCTGAGACTCCCATTGAGGGGAAGAAAATGTCCTTTGTGAATGATCTTACGATCACTCAGGATGGGAGGAAGATTTATTTCACTGATTCTAGCAGCAAATGGCAAAGACGAGACTACCTGCTTCTGGTGATGGAGGGCACAGATGACGGGCGGTGAGGCCTTCCTGCAGGTCTCCCATTTGTTGAGTTCGCTAGCCAGGCTGGCTGCTTCAGCAGAGCTTGTTACTTCTAGGGAACAACGGAGTATTTCCAGCATCATATTTCAGCTTCTAGGGCAGGATCTTAGTGGCTTCTGGAGGCAGGTGATGGATGTCACAAAGTGGAGCAAAGCACTTTCGTTTTCTCTGAGAAATTAAATTAGACCAGTCTGTTTGAGGGTGTGAGTCTGCGCAGTTGGGAGAGACCCTGGAGGCGGGCCTGGGCTTTGGGTTGCCTTTCTGAGGGGGACTCCTGCCCGGCTCCAGGTCAGTGAGAGAACTGACCATGGGGTTCTCTGGAGGGGACACTGGATCTGCTCTGGATGGGGAAGGGACCCCAGGGGCCAGCCTCGAATCAAGTTTGAGCGGGGGTCCAGGGCCTGTTGCTCTGAGATGGGGCGGAGTCACCTCCAGGCCCATGCCCTGAAGGCCCAGAGCAGGAGCCACAGACTCTCCCCCATAACCCTCTGCTTTTGGTGTTCTGCAGCCTGCTGGAATATGATACTGTGACCAGGGAAGTAAAGGTTTTATTGGACCAGCTGCGGTTCCCCAATGGAGTCCAGCTGTCTCCTGCGGAAGACTTTGTCCTGGTGGCAGAAACGACCATGGCAAGGATACGAAGGTGTGTGGGGTTAGCTGAGCGGTCAGTTGTCAGCCAGAGTGCATCCTGGCTGGGATAGGGTGGGTATGGGAATGGGATCGACAGAAATCAGAGGCAGCAGTGCACCTTCTGCGTGGCATGTTAATGAAAGAAAATTCAAGGGTGCGCTTTCTTTCTCCTATTGTGAGTCGCAGTCTGGGAGAGTGTCTTAAGTTAAGGCCAACTGGCCCAGCCTGGGCCTTATTCCTCTGCCAGCAGGGCCTTGGTCCTCCCCCGACCTGCTTCCCCTCTGTTCATGCTGGGCCCTGGGCACAAAGGTTCCTTCTCAGCAGCTGTGCCTTTGTTCATGATGGACATAGTTAGAGGACTTTGCCATATATATATTTGGACCCAGACCAATGTGGTGCTTGGCAAAAATTTTTTTCTTGAATTATGGGGCTACTGCTCACTGTCTGCTTGGGTGATTTTTTCAGAGTCTATGTTTCTGGCCTGATGAAGGGGGGCGCCGATCTGTTTGTGGAGAACATGCCTGGATTTCCAGACAACATCCGGCCCAGCAGCTCTGGGGGTTACTGGGTCGGCATGTCGACCATCCGCCCTAACCCTGGGTTTTCCATGCTGGATTTCTTATCTGAGAGACCCTGGATTAAAAGGATGATTTTTAAGGTAACTATAAAACAGTTATTTTAAGAAACAAAGTGGAAATGAATCTAATCATATTTTTTGACGCTTATAGCTTAAAAATCTAGTTGTGCTTGTAGTATTTGGCTCTTTGAATGACTACTTAGAAACACATTTCATTCTTCATCATGAAATGTAGATTTAAACATTTAGACCTGTTGGTTCTTCTGGTTTCCCTGTTTCTGGGTGTTTTTATCACCACCCTCGCCATCGTGGCTTTGGGCATCCACCTGCCTGTCAGTCTTGCTGCTCTGTCTGCCATGGCTGTGCCAGACCTCTCTGCTCTCCACCCTCCTTGCTGCCTCCTCAGGGAAAGAGTCGGCAGGTGCCTTCCTTCCCTCCCTGCAGGTGTGACCATGCCTGTAACCCAGTCTCCATGGCCGCCGTCCTGCCTGCTGCCTTCTTGCAGCCTCACTGTCAGGCATTCTTCTCCATGGGGTTCTGCCCTTTCACCTCTTAGCACACCCAAATCATTCCCTTTAAAAAGAAAAAAGGCACCCACCCCCACCAATGGCCAGCCACAGCCCCTTTAACACAATAGCCTGTTCAACACAACAGCCCCTTCAACACAGCTTTTAAATGTTGTGCATCCTGCCATTTTGGTGGCTTCCCTGAAGTACCCTGCATTATAACTCAGCACGTTTACACTGCGGAGGGGTCACTTGGCGGGCGTGAGCACTTGTGTAATACAGAGATCTGGTTTTCCAGCAAGCTCCATGTCGCAGGCTGAATAGGTATTTAAAATTGATACTGAATATTTGAACTGATGTGGAAATACTTGCTTGCAGTCCTGGTGCTAACAGGCAGCAATTGCCGAGTCCTGGTGCTGGGCTGTGTGCCTGGACCCCTTCTGGGGGCTGCGTGCACATTCTCAGTCAGATTGGCCCATGGCCTTCAGTGATGTGAGTTGTGAGTTGCTGTGTGGGAAGTCCTAATATGTTCAGAAATCTGTCCTTCTCTTTGCCTTATTGGCCCCAGAGCCCACATCTGTTCCTGCTGGGACCTAGGGGAGGCAGAATGGCAGCTGGGCCTGCTCAAGTGTTTTGGAGACTGCTGGACCAGCTGTGGGACCCTGGGCCAGGGACTTGGTCTCTTTGCTTTGGGTGCTCTGTGTGTAAAGTAGAAAGGATAATAGCACTTCATCAGGTGCTGGGAACATTTAGTGAGAATATGCACGTAGTGTAGGGTAGTATGTGTTCAATTTCTGTGTCAGTCGTCCTGCAGCAAGGATGCGATCATCAGCTGGCAGTGGTGTGTCTCTTCCCCTGACTAGAACATGTGCACCATAAGAGGAGATGTTTTTCTGTTTGGTTCATGCATAGTTCATTTGTCATCCTCCACACCTGCAACAGCGCCTGGCACATGTAGGCGTGAGGAGGTACCACTGATCAAGGGTGCAGTTAGGGAGGGGGCTGTAAGTGTGAGGGTACACAGAATCTTCCTGCAGCTGGGTGAGGAGGCGCCAGAGGGAGGACCACACCCCCATGGACTTGGAAAGAGGGTCTGATTTTATTCAAAATGTAATCCAGGTCACTGAAGAGTTTTTTGTTTTGTTTCGTTTTTGAGATGGAGCCTCGCTTTGTCACCCAGTCTGGAGTGTAGTAGTGTGATCTCAGCTCACTGCAACTTCTGCCTCCAGGGCTCAAGCAATTCTCCTGCCTCAGTCTCCCGATTAGCTGGGATTACAGGCATGCACCACCACACTCGGCTAATTTTTGTATTTTTAGTAGAGATCGGGTTTCACCACGTTAGCCAGGGTGGTCTCAAACTCCTGACCTCAAGCGATCCACCCACCTCAGCCTCCCAAAGTGCTGGGATTACAGGCGTGAGCCACCACGCCTGGCTTGATTTTTTTTTTTTTTTTTAATTTTGAGATAGTATCAAAGCTGTGGAAATGTAGCCGGGATGGTACAAGGAATTTTTTCCCAGCACTGTTTTCGAGTCACCTGCTGACCTGATGCCCTGTCACTTATTGCAGATGCCTGAGCGCGTTTGGCACATTCTTCATTATATCAGTCAAAACCAGGAGATGCCCACAGCTCCCCTGCAACTGTCCAGTCTGCAGGCCCCATTCAGATTTTGCCAGTTGTCCTAGTGTTGTCCTTTATAGCAAAGGAATCAACCCAGGATCAGGAGTGATGTTTAGTTGTCAGCTCTGTTTAATCTCCTTCAGTCTGGGGGTATTCAGCTCCTCAGTCTTTTTGAATTTTTGGCCTTGATCCTTTGGACATGTACAGGTCAGCGGTCTCTCAGAATGTCCCTCCAGTAGGGTTTCTCTGATAGCTTTTCACTTTTAGATTCTCGCATCGCTAGCAGCAGTGGCACAGCAGTGGAGCTGTGCTCATCTTGGTGTGGCTGTTATGAGGGCACAGTTTGCTCTGTTATGGGGGGCGGCAGCTTTGGCCACCAGATTCAGGCGGGGAATGCCAGGTGTCTCCACCTTGAAGTGACTCTTCCATGTGTAGTTACTGAGTCACTTGTGGAGAGATGGTTTCTGGAAGTAATCATCAGTGCCATCTCATGGTTACCCACGTTCTTAATGGGGATTATGTTACAGTCATCATTTATTTTGATGCTCAAATTACCCATCTGTGGCTAGGAGGAGCCCCTTTAGTGGGACTTCTGGGCCTTTGGGCACGCTCTGTCGTCTTGGACTAGCTCCTCGCTTTCTGGCACACAGGTCGCTCCATGCTCCTCTCATATTGTCCCTGCTCCGGCTCTGCAGTCGGCCATTTCTGTCAGGAGTCCTGGTTCCCTGTGGAGGAGATCTGGGTGCCAAGTGTATTCATTGCCTTGGGTGTTGCTGCTCCCGGGTTCCCAAGGGACAATGCTGGAAGTACAAGCACATGATGTGTACTCACACATGCCTGCATGCGTAGACATCACAGACTGCTCACGCTTATGCCTGCATCTGTCATCTGTAAATTGAAAACTATGACAACACCACAGGACTGATTCAAGTTTTCTCCTGTTATTTCTCCCCCTATTTGTACCTCTCTTCTCTAGCAGTGAGAAATCTGGATCCCATTGTCCTCCCTAGGTTTACCTGCTCAACCATTTCCCTGCATGTGATGAATATGTGGCTGCTGTCCCCTCTCACATGGCCCCATCCAGGGCTGTAGCACCCCACGCTGGGCTGTCCCCTTCCTCCCCGATCATGTGCTGGAGGCTGCCTTTCCCCTCAAGGGCTCTGATCCCTGCACCGGCCGTCCCTGGGTATACATCTCCTCACCTGCATGGGCTCTCATAGCCTGATCTGGACCTCACTGTGGGGATACCTCCTCACCCCATGTGGGCCCTGACAGCCCAGACCAGGTCATCCCACTGCAGGGACACCTCCTCACCCCAAGTGGAGTGGGCTGGTCTGGGCCACCATGGTCTGGGTACACACGTACCCTGCTCTGCCCCACGCGTGGCGTCTTGATGGAGTTGTTTAGGAGGGGAGTGATATAGTACAAAGAATGTTTTTAAAGATAACTGCAGCCCCTGCAAGGAGAACAGCTTGCAGCAGGGCTCAGGAGGCTGTCCCAGTGACTGCGGAGAGGCAGCAGGGCAGGGCCCAGGCCAGGGACACACACAGCAGATGGCAAGACTGACAGCTGGACTTGTAGGGCACAGAGAGACCGGAATCAAGAATGAGGGCTGAGGTCCTGGCCTTGTTTCCGGAGCTGGGGAGGCTGTCGAATTTGAAGTGCTGTTAGAAAGTCCAGGCAGACATGGGTCCCAGACAGTGAGTGACTTAGCACTGGGGTTGGAAATAGAGGTGGAGATTTGCGAGCTTTCTGGGAAAGTGACTAGTTGTAATAGTGAGAGAGGATGAGGTCTCTTAAGGAGAAGAGAGGAGAGAGGGAAGGATTCATGGCCGAACAGCAGTTGTGGGTTGTGGGAAGCTTTGGGCATTTTTTGAGCTGTAATGCAGCTGATCTATTGCTATTGAACCTAGAGCCCAGTCAGCTTTTCTGTCTGCTTGAACGTTCCAGTGACTGGGTGACATTATTTGTTGGACACTTGTTTGGGTATTTTCCCTTGTATTAAAAGCTGGAAATCTGTCTGTTTATTTCCATTCCTTGGTCTTAGGCGGTGGAGTGCTTTGTCATAATTTCTGACCAGGTGTCCTTCTGCTCTGCCAGAAATCATGTCTCTCTCCATCTGGTTTCTCTGCTTAAAACTCTTCAACAGCCCTGTGTGGCCACAGAGTCCAGGTCTAAGCGCTTTTCCATCCGTCCATGGAGGTGTTCCTCAGGATCTGCATGCCCCGCTTTGAGGAAAGCAGTGGGATTTCACTTTCTGTTTTGGAAGCTATGTCGTGTGGTGTGTGGACCTGCTCGCTTGTTTTGAACGTGAACCGTTCTCAAATCTTCATCATTGGCACCTTGTCTATTTGAAATGTTTTAAACCTAAACAGAAGACTTGTGTATTCCAGGGAAGCTGTGCTGGTTGTGATCTGATGGCTCAAGGTCATTCTGAGCCTTGGCTTTAGTGCTGTGACTGCCTCGGATGTGATGTGTGTCCCTCTGAGTTCAGCCAGACCGTCTAGAGATGTACTCGCATTGCTATCCTTGTGCTGGGGAGCCTCCTTGGCCTGATCTTCATAGGGACAGGGGTGGGGTGGGGCCTGCTTTGGGGCCCCTGGGCTGGGAGTGGGAGCTGGGTTAGTCTTGGCACTGCCCTCTGGGGCTGTCCTTTCATGGGAAGGAGTCAGGCCATTCCTGGATGGCGGCGGAGGTGCGGCTGATCTGCTCACAGCATTCTTGGCCAGCTGGTGAACTCTCCCTGCACTGTGCTTCCCTCTAGCTCTTCAGTCAGGAGACGGTGATGAAGTTTGTGCCGCGGTACAGCCTTGTCCTAGAACTCAGCGATAGCGGTGCCTTCCGAAGAAGCCTGCACGATCCTGATGGGCTGGTTGTCACCTACATCAGCGAGGCGCATGAGCACGACGGGTACCTGTACCTGGGCTCCTTCAGGTCCCCCTTTCTCTGCAGACTCAGCCTCCAGTCTGTTTAGCCTGCCCAGATAGCTGCCCTTGCCATGCAAGCCGGGAGTCTTTACACTCAGGCACCGGGCCTTGTCCAGAAGGAGCTGTAGACACAGTTGTGGTTCAAGTGTCCACATGCACCTGTCAGTCCCTGAGGGGTGGTGGGCACGGCTGCTTCATCCTCTTCGAGGATGCCCGGGACCTGCCAGGGGCACCTTCACCTGGGCCCGTCTTTCTGTTGAGAGGGAAGTGTAACATATCTGCCACAGGGAGGATAAATTCATGTAAAGCCATTTTCTCTTAAAACAAAACAAAGCTTTCTAAGTACAGTCATTCTCTAGGACTTGGGAAGCTTCTTGCACTTGGAACAGGGCTCAGGTGAGTGGAGCAGTGACGCATTGCCCATGAGCTTGCTGCTGCGACCCTGCCCCGTGGCCTCAGTGTCCTTCTTTACTGTCATATAATGTGCGATCATACCTTTGTTTGTTGGGGGGGGATGGAAGAGCAGAGGGAGCACAGCCCAAGGGTGTTGAGGCGAGCAGTGAGAGCCGTGTAAGCCAAGAATGGAACCGTGTTCCCAAGTGTTGTGTGGGATGGGGGCGCTCCCATAGTGCATAGGAAAAGCACATTGACTCTAGCGGCTCAGAGAGAACTTTGCTGGGTTTCTTTCTGTGAATATCTCCACACTGCCCATGCTGACCATGCTGGAATTGGATGATTCTGTAATTCGGGACCCATTGCAGGGGTGTGTTCAGTAATGTCGTGTCTGTGACCTTTGTTCTTGACCCCTAGACCCCAAAATGTGAACAGTGCACGTGTTAATGTCATCTTTGCTCATGTGTTATAAGCCCCAAGTTGCTGTATATTTTCACAGGTATGTCTACACACTGGTCATGATTTTGATAATAAATATGATCAATTGACTTCTGCTGATTTACCTTTTTTGGTGATAGGGCATGGGAGTTTCTTCTCTTATTAACAGTAAGTGAAATTTAATTCCATCAGGTGTTGATGTAAGAATTGCCTTGGTGAGGATGATGTTTTAAGGCCGAGCAGTCCATCTGACCAGCTCAGGAAGGGAAGCCACGGGACCTGTCTCAGGCAGCAGTCTTCAGGCAGGGAGCAGGTAGCCTTAGGCCATTAGCTCTCGACGTTGACTCCTGGCGTAAGTTGATATTACACTTCTCTCCTGTTTTCCAGCCTATGAAATGGGGCTCATATCTGTTCCTCTCTTTCCTAGGTATTTGTGAGAGTAACAAGAGATTGTGTCTCCAAACATGTTTGGAATAACTTCACAGAGGCAATATTTTAGATAGCAATAAAAGAAAAAATCAGATAAATATGTAATGATATATGTAATGTAAATATGTAAAGATAAATATGTAATGGGACAAAAATTCAGAGAATTGATAGCTGTGGTAACATCGGGACCATCTGTATGCACTGGCTGGCCTTGGACTCCTGCGCCCTCCTCTCCCCTCAGCAGTGGCCAGGCTCCGTGTGGGGGGAAGAGAGTCGGGAGTCTGATGGTTAATTGTGTGTCCCCACTTCTCGAGGCTGGCTCCTGGGGGCAGCACCAGTAGGACAGAGGCAGAGATCAGCTTCTCCCTAGTTGATGCGACCCACATTGTGTCAGATGAACAACTCAAAATTTTTAATGTGACTCTATAGGAAAGAAAATTAGTGGTCAGCAGAAATACTTTTAGTGACAAACGGTGTGCCTTATATGTCAGGTATGCAAAGAAAATAATACTTAATAATTCTGTCATATAAACAGTTTAAATGTGTTGGGCTTATGTGGTCTTCTCTTTTTAAATTGAGAACAGAGAGCTTTGCTTTCAGTGCTTAATTTTCACAAATATAAAGAAGCTGGCAAACTGTTTTTCACAGTTTTCAGCAAAGGGGTCTTGATTTTGACTTAGCTGTTGATTTTCTGTCTCCAAGTGTCATTTCCTGTGTTCTATCTGGTAATTTGACATGATGAGGTGTGAAATGGAGTCTCTTATTAGGTTTAAATATGTGATACGCTTTTGCTGTAACATAAAAGGGATTCGTTCTAATGTGAATGACTAACATGCTCTTAAAATTAATCAGGTGATTCATTGTGTGCCTCTCCTATCCATTCCTGAAACTCCATCAAGATTCAGCTATTATGTTTCATGGGACAGAGATCTCAGTTTGGGGTTTTTATCATCAGCTTATGCTTGCAGAGTGGTGTGTCGTTCTGAAAGTTCTCCACGTATGCTGACTCTTAATGATTCCAGAAGGCATGGCCTCATTGTGCCAATGGGAACCGAGGCTCTGAGGGGTTAGTTTAGTGACTGCCAGAGTCACAGCCAGCATAGCTAAGCCAGCCTCCCAGGGATGTGACTGGAGAAAGCTCAGGTGAAGCTGGGAGCAAGGGAGACAGCGCCTGGCTGGGCAGTGGCTGCCGAGCCTGTGGATCATGGCAGGGCACTGACTCTAACCTTGGCTTCACAGCAGAGTCCTTTGGGGTGCCCAGGTCTCAGGGTGGCCCAGCCTGGCACTTCTACCAGTCTATTTCCAATTCCTGGTGCCCTCCAGCCCTCAGTGGCCTCTCCCTCCTCTTTGCACCCCCAGCACAGTCATCTTCAGTGGGTTGCCCTCTCTGGAGGGCTCTGGGGAGCGGTCTGCTGTTCTGCCCCCACTCAGGCAGTGGGGCAAATCCCTGGGAGGCCTGAATCTCAAGGAGGCACAGCTGTGGCCCAGCTGCTTCTGGTGTGGACAGATCACCTGTTCCGGGGGCTTTGGCCTTCAGGGTGTTGTAGCTAGCAGCTCAGGCTGGCAAGGCCCCCAGCGGAAGTCACTTCAACTTGTCAGACGCCTTGGTAAGGGGGACCCCTGGCAAGGCTTGCTTCACCTCCCAGCTCTCCCCTAAAAAGGCCAGCATGGCTGCTGCTCATCTTGATTCCCAGCTGTATTCATCACAATAGGCCAAGGCACTCAGTGGCTAAGGGGCTCCCCAACCATGGCTCTGCGGATTCTTCAGAACCAGAGCTGCACCTCTGCTCTCCTAGGGGCCTGTGGCCACGGGGGATCATCCCTTACTTTCACAACTCCCTCCCTTGACTCAGTCCCCTACACCCAGACCCAGAATCTAGGTGTGCAGCGTCAGAAACAGGAGTTAATTTTAGAAGCAAATGTTATCTATTTAATCTGTTAGGAGGTGCCACCATGCTCCCATCCCAGCTGCCCTGTGGTGACCCAGCAGCGCTTCATCTGCTCACTTGGGAGAGGCCTGAGCGGGTCTGTGAGGCTGGCTTATGAGGCGGCTGGGAGGGGACGCTCCTTGGTGTTTGTCACAGCTGTTGAAGAGGTGGGGGTCAGTGACAACGGAGAACAGGTACCTCGAATTGCTGGAGCCAGGGCACGACCCAGACTTCAGAGTAGCAGCTCAGAGTCTGAAACAGAGAAGGGCACACCGAGGGCTCTGACTTGCCCCTTGGGGAGCCCTCTGCCCCTGGACGGGTTCCTCACGGGGGAGCTCTTCTCCTGCCCCTAGTTTTCATTTTGAAAAATTTCAAACCTACAGAAAACTTGAAAGAATGATTTAAGAAGATAAGCTTTTCGCCTCTGTATTTGTAATTGCTAAATATTGCCATGTTTCCTTTCTCTTGTGTTCTCTGCAGAGATATGCTATATATCAAATATATATGCAATTTCTGGATTGTTTGAAAGCCTTTCTTGCTCTAATCCTCTCTACCCGCGCCCCAGAACGCTCCTCTGGAGCTGTGTCTCCGCCTCCGGGAAGGGGGGATGTCGCCTGAGGAGCTCCTAGCACAGGCTCTACCTCCCGCTGTCCCGGATCCTCGGTCGTGTGGGAGTCCGGGAGGCCTGGCTTCCTCAGGGCTGAGGTTTGGAGTGGTGCCTTAGAGAAGTGGTGACAGGGTGTTTTCACAGCCCTGGTAGTGAGTGGGCTGGGGAAGAGGGGGTACATCTGAGAAGGGCCCGCTGCTTTACCCGCTTCAAGGTGTGGTTGGTTTGGAAGTCACAATCGTCCAGACGTGGGTGCTGGTTTTTCTTGCAGGTAGTTCTGCCAATTTCCACCTCGAGCATGTATTTCAGGCCTTTCACTATCTGCAGAGGACAGAGGGACTGGGTTACTGGGCATGGGGGAGGGAGGGCAGGAGGCCCTCCTTCACTGGAAGCGGGGCCTCAAGACAGTGGTGCAGGTGCCTCCCGAGTAGAAGGGAAGTCGGCCGGCTTGGGACAATGCTTCGGGCTTACAGCAGAGCCTGTATACCCCTCCCGCTCTCCTCCCTGCTCCGTGCTGGGGTTTGTGTCCCTTCCTGGGACAGACGTCTCCTTTCTGCCCAGAGCTCTGTACTCAGGAGGAACGTGACACTGGGTCTCCTGCATGCCCTCCTGAGCCTGCCCTGCAGCCCCTCACTCCAGCCCCACGCTGGCAGTTTCTCATGGCCTCTGTGTCAGGCTTGGAGTGTGTGGGCTTCCCCTTCCTGGGATTGGGAGTTTTGAATTTCTGGACAGCCCTTCTCCACTTGGACATGGCAGCTGCCTGGTTCATTCTCATTTGTGGTCTTAGAGGAGTTGAAGAAAAATTCTTCAGGTTTTAGTCTCAGCCCCAGCCCCAGGGAAATTGTTTTGTCCCCAACATCGCCAAGCTAGAGAGGGACAACCTCCAAGCCTCCTCCCAGAGATCCCTGAGGACTCAGGTCCAGAGAATCCCACTGGCCTCTCCAGAGAAGGAGGGAGGGCCTGCATCACCCAGGGAAGATCCACGCCCGAGGCCAGGTGGTGGAGCGAGGACCCTGGCTCCATACCACACTGCCCTCTGTAGCACGCTTCTCATGTGAAAACGTGCTGCTCTTCACAAGTTCACAACGAACAAAAATAATTGGGTTCTGAAAGTCACTCCGACCTCTGACCTGGTGCAACTGTGAACACTGTGAAGGCAGTCTTGGACAGGGCTACTTCTGTTCCTTCCCCTCCAGGCACCAGCGCACAGTGCTGAGTGTTACCCACAGCCTGCGTCCCACATTAGCAAGCGGGTGTTCTCGGGACACAGACAAGGCCTGGCTGTGCCTTGGAGGGTCCCTAGTGGGGAAGGGTGCTGAGCAGGTACCCTTCCACAGTAGGCATGAGTCAGGGAAAGATCAGTGGCTTGGGCAGAGCTCTGGGACTCTGGGACTCGGACGTGAATGAGCACTCTGACGGGGAAGTGGCAAGGACACGCCTAGGCTGCCATGCAAGTGAGTGGTGAGGCCAGGTGCGGGCCATGGGCCCAGCAGGGGCAGCTCCTTGGACAGCAGCTTCACGGGTTGCTCCCTAATCAGCCTTGGCGCCGGCCTCCAGGAGCCCTGTTGGGGCCCCAGCGCCTCCTTACCCCATGCCTGGTGGGCTCTGGGCCAGTGGCTGTAACCGTCCTGGAGCTGCGTGCTTTGTGTAACCTTTGTGCTTGGCTCTGGGGGATGCTGGCCTCAGCGGCTGCTGTACCCTCCCACCCCATGTGTACCTCCTTTCTGCCCAGAGTGCTGCACTCAGGAGGGACGTCACATTAGGTCTGCCCTGCTCTCCTAGGTGTCACATTGTAGCAGCTTGGCTTCCTAGGGGTGTCCTTCACATGCGACCAGAACCAAGGCCCTCACCTGGACCAGGGCCCTTCTGATGCGGGACTCCTTGAACAAGAACATGTCGTTTGTGCAGTTGTTGAACTTCTCAACACTGTGTCTGGCTGCTTGGCGGACTCCTGGATCGTTGGTCTTTATTGTTTCGGGAAATCCTGGCTTCACACCTAACTTAAGGTCCTGGGAACAAAAATCTGAAAGAGAGAAAAAAAGAACCAAGCAAGAACACTGATGTTAGCAGGGCCTTTGGTCTAGGTGTCACACCTCATGCTCAGTTCTCTGTCGACCTGTGCCTCCTGGCCCCACCCACCCCTCATC